CCCTACGCCCAGCCCCGGCCGCCGCCGCCGCCGCCCGGCGGGAAAGCAAAGGGGCGCCGGAGCCCCGAGCCCGGGACCAGGCACCCGCCGCTCCTCGCCGCCCCCACCCCCGCGCCTGGCACCCAACTTGTACCTGAGAAACCAGAGTCCAGCCCGGGAGCCTCTGCGGCTCTGGCTCCGCGGGAGCGCGCCCAGCCCTGCGCCTCCAGCCCCGCATCCAGGGCGCGTCAACCTGACTCCCCGAGCGCAGGGAGGAAAAGTTTGGGAGTGACGTGCAGACGGCGAATGAAACATCCGAAGAGACCCCTCCCCCCCGCCCCACGTCGCGCTGACACACATCGGCTCGGGTCTGGAATGTGAGATCAAGGCGTGTGCGCCGAGCGGTGGGTTTGGCCCCCGCCCCCTCCCCTCTCAAGTAAACACCGTTGGCGAGATGCGGTGGCTCCAAAAAGAAAGCAAACCGAGACCCCGAAAGTCTGCCGGTGACACCCTGCCAGAGACATTTTTAACGAACTTGGCGGTCTGCAGCCGGCCCACATACATCGCCATTCAAGGCCACGGCGCTGGTGGCTTCTGCGCCCTCTGTTGTATTTCTGCGTCCCGCGGAGCCTCTCCGGGCTCTCGGGCCCAGCGTGTTTGCTTTCACCAGGAGGCCGGGCTCGGCGGGACGAGCGCCGCTGCCTGCCGCAGTGGCCTGGAGGCGGCCGCTCCAGGAAACCACCTGGGCTGCACGAGGTCACGGAAGAGGCACCCGTGGTCCACTGCCCGCATTCTGGACTGAAGACGCCATTAGTTAAAGAAAAGACACTTTGAATTCTGGAAGACTCGATTCAAGCGGCGCTTAGAACACGAAGCCCAGCCTCTCAGGGAAAAAAGATCAAGGGGCAGCGAAGAATCCTTGTCTGCCGTCACACAGCCTTTTGCCTGTCATGTCCAGCACTCTCGTACTTAAAGCGGCCTGAAGTGGAGTGGAAAGTGCTTACTAAACACAGAGTGCTCCACGTGGCCGAGGGTGCTTCCTGAGGGGTCCCTTGCTCCTTTACCCTCTAACAACCTGATCTTTTTTGCTTGAGGCTTTATCTCATCCCCCAGAGATGCTAACCTGCCCAGAGGTTGTCGACTTCTGCTCAGCATCCATGGAAATTAATGCAGAGGTCACACTCGGAGGATTACAAATGCAGATGGGGAGATGGCATGAAAGGGGAATTCTTCAAAACCGTATCTTGTTTGGCTGCAAATAATACCTCTTACATAAAATCGACAGAGAAAGATTAATGCAGCAGAGAGACTAGCCTTTGAATCTCAGACCGGATTGCTTTTTCCACATAGACTCCGCATGGTGATTTTTTTTTTCATTATTATTTTTTTAAACAAAAACCTTTTTCTGAAAATACAATGGGCCGCTTTTTGCAGGGTTCATAATTCCCCATAGATGATGATGCCATTTTTCAAGGTCTTACACACGCTGTGGCTTTGGGGCTTATTTATTAGCTCCCAAGAAAAGCCTTCCTTTCAGCGGTTTATATACTCAATTAATTGCATCGGGGACACAGAGCAGGGCGCTGTTGAAGGGCTTGGTTGTACATGCGTCTGCGAGGAAGGCCCAGGGCCAGGCAGCTGTCAGACCGTGTGCGTCGGGTTTAAGCAAACACGGGGAAGGTTCTAGGGAAACGCCGAGGAGAAAGTCCCCTCCTGTAAGGGAGTGTGGAACATCGTCCCTCAACCACGGTACCCGTCTTTCCCCTCCTCCCTCCAAGTAAACACATGACTCCGTTATGGCGATGGCGCTAGGCCCATCCAGATCACTTTCAAATTCAGGTGTCAGAAGTCATGGTCGACATGGAGCACATTGTTTTTAAGTAAAACCGCGGTGCAGCTTTGATACGAATTCTACCAGGGACTTCTCCAAGGTATTTATACACGTGCCTGAGATTAACTCGAGGGCGATCCGCCCCCTCCCCATAATATTAATTTCAAAAAAATTGCCCAAGAATTACTCTCGAGCCTGTTAATCTGGAGAGTCGATGGAACACCCAGACGCCAGACGTGTACGAATGAGCGGATGGATGGACAGATGGGTGTGTGACTGTGAGAGAGGTTAGTGCCAACATGACATTGGCAGCTAAGGGCTGAAAAAATGCAGATTATTCGAGAAAACAAATATCTCCTCCCTATATGCACGCTCTTAGGCCTCCATAATTCTGGAGTTAAATTGCCTGGATTCAAACCCTACTTCCCACACCTACTAGCTAATTGAGTGACCTTGGGTAAGTCACTCCTTTATTTCTGTGTGTCACTTGGAGCTTATAATAGAACCTACCAGCGGTAGATGGAGTTATCAATCCCATGGGGGAATCACTCTTCTGAGTCCTCAGAGTGCATAGGATATACTCCCCCATTTCTTGACTTTGGACTTGGCCTTTTGACACGCTTTAGACCATGAGATTTGAGGGGATGTGACTAAATCAGAGGCTTGAAATGTGTTGCAGGGCTGGGCTTGCTCTCCTGGGCTCTGGTGGTCCACCGTGACAAGAACCTGTCTCGAGAAGCCGCTGCCTCTTCCAGCAAGGCTCCAGAATGAACACATGTGGACCTGACCTGAACTCAACTAGCAGCCTGGAGCCAAGTCACCCCACCTACAGTTAGACTCAACGCTGCCCCGGCTGACCTACGGACACAAGAGCAAGCGGGGGAAATGTTTGTAAGCCACCGAATTTCAGAGTTTTGTTACACAACATTATCGTGGCACTGGCTGACTGATACATTCCCTCAGTGGGCTACTGTGAAGAGTAATGACAAAATCTTTGACAAATACTAAGCACAATTCTTGGAATATAGAAAGAGCTCAGAAATCTTAGCTCTTAATAGTAACCAACATTATTGATAATAGTTTTGCACATAACAGTGACATAATAACTGTTTTTAACTGATTAATTGAGTCGATGAACAAGTATTACTTGAATAAAGATTCTATAAGAGACAGAGCAAGGACCTCAGAAAACTGGAAGACAAGAGACCCGTCATGATCCCCAAATCACATCCATTCACGCATTTATCCATTTATCCAGTAGGTAGTCCCCAAACACCCACTCCGTGCCACACACTGGAGTGAATGTTGGAGCCATTAAGATGACCAAGTCTTCACCACCTGCTAAGGATGACGACCTACAGAGTCATCACATGACAAGCACTCTGCGAAACACCTTTCCATGCTACATCTTTTGACCCGCGCAACAGCCTTCTGAGCCAATGCTACTTATCCCATTTTTCAGGCGAAAAGACTAAGGCTCAGAAACCAAGCAACACAGGAAAAGGGCCAAGGCCACGCCTCCACCATTAGTGGCCACTAATGCCCGTGAATTCTAGCCGGTGGCAAACCTGAAAGGAAAATAAAATGAGAACAAAGAAAAGGGATGAATGCAGCTGGTGTCACCGTGTCGCGTATGTGCCAGGTGCTCGGGAAATACCGAGGCTCGGAAGACTGGGTTCAGCTCCTGCCCCCAGCGGCCCGTGAGACCATGAGCCCCGCTCTGGCCGTCAGTTTCTCCGACTGGAGGTGGCAGGATCTTAGAAAGCCGCAGTGCTGGCATTTTATAGAGCTGTGGATTCAGGAGGAATTACTATAGGAAGTCCATTGTAAGGGGGTTAAGGGATGGGAACCCCAGCTCCGGGAACGCTTCCGATAATTTGAAAGTGAGGACAGCAGACAGCTTAGGAGGAAAGGAGGCAAGGCCGGGCCTCGGGCACCATTCTTTATAGGCCCCTGGTCGACAGGCCTCAGCCTTGCCTTTGGTCACTTTCCCGGTAGAGCAGTGAGCTGGAGCATTTGGGGACTTCCAAGGGCCTCCCGTCAGAATGCAGTGCGCCCAGAGGACAAATCGTTTGAGACGCCAGAGGACTTAGTTATCACTTAATGAGTTATTTTTCAGTTAATACTTCTGCAGAGGTTGAGATGAGGTTTCAATGCACCTGCACCTTATTCCCACATTTAAGATTGTTTCCAAGGGGACAGCGTGGGGGCGGGGGTGGGGGGGGAGGGTTGCTGAAGTCGGAGCTCCCTTTGCTGGGAAGGGCTGTACCTGGGTGCAAGGGAGGCCCTGGGGTTCATTGCACAAGCTCTCCAATTCATTTCAGTGGACCCGACTTCATATCTCTGCCACCGACCTGCCTCCAGCCCTGTGACTTTGACAAATTTAGATTTCTCGGCAACCTGAAGTGCATTTCAATTTCATAAATTTAGAAATACTCTGGATAGACAGATTCCTTGTGCAGTAACGCATCCACTAAGTGCACTTTAAGCTAATTTTGGTATGCTAATTCATCACAAATTGACTTGAGATTTAGGTTCTCGTGAAAATTTCCTAGCCCAGGTACAAAGCCTTTGCCAGATTTAGGAAACTAACAAACGGTGGTTCTTAAGGTTACAGACTCCAGCTCTGCATCGAAACTTCAGTGAAGAACGGAATGAGGCCTGCTTTAAATAAACATCCATGTTTGTGCGTCCACACGAGTGCTGTCTGCCCTAACGGGTCCCCGGGAGCCATCCTTGACTCCAGACATGCGGTCACGGCATGGAGGTCGTAGAACTCTACTTTGGAGTCCCCTCCTGAGAAGTCCAA